GTAAATATCACAGTGAGGGGGTGCTCTTGCGACTGCAATTATTGGATCACAGGTGCAATGCTCTGGCTCCTGCAGATTCTTCCTCCCGCCCATGCACGTACCGAGATACAGGCATTCAGCAACATGACGAGAAGGAAGTGTCGGTGGACTTGTATTCCACTGAGAAGTCCCTCGGCTGCGCTGGCTTTTCTCCATTCACATATCCTGTTAAAGGATCCGTGAATGGATGACGCTCCTGTGCGCACAGCAGAACCAAACTTGAAAATGTGCACAAGTTTGCTGGGAGAAGAACCCCACCATTCAGGTAAGCGGGGTGGTGGTGGTTTGATATGACTATGTTTTATGTTACTTCCTACGTTTGGGTTTTGGATACTGACACTTTAATGTTCGCACAATATTGACCTTTTTTTTTGCTGTGGGCTCATCGCAAGGCTCGCTTTTTAAAGCAGCTTCCATGTGTACGGCCTTCTAGTTGGAACCATTGACCTTGAGACATGAGCCTGAGACGTGCGCCGGCAGAGTCTGCGTCCGTTGTCAATCATTTTTCCGATAATAGCTGCGCTGAACGATTATGTGATGACTGAGTGATGCAACATGTGAAATAGAAGGATCACATCCTGGAAAAGACAGCATGACAAGTACTTTGAATCTATAACTTTCTTTTATACCCTTTCTCTTCTGGAAACAAAAATGACTAAAAACATTTTAAAGCTGAACTCCGGGCAAGAACCCCCCCCCCCCTTTTGTTTAACCCTTTTGCTGCCAGTGGCCCTGTGTGCAGACACCTGTACCTATGTAAAGCCAACTGTGAGTCTTACACTAGAAGGGATTTTGCTGACTGAAAAGCCACCAGATTGCTTCCAGGGACTGGTAAACAGGTTGCCTACCCTGTTCTAGGTGGCGTAGTGGTTAACACTTCCTCCTTGCAGCACTGGGTCCCCAGTTCAAATCCCGGTCAGAACACTATCTGCATGTAGTTTGCATGGGTTTCCTCCGGGTACTCTGGTTTCCTCCCACACTTCAAAGACATGCTTGAAGGTTATTTGGCTTCTGTCTAAATTGGCCTTCTATGTATGCATGTGAGGTAGGGACCTTAGATAAGCTCCTTAAGGGCAGGGACTGGTGTGAATATTCTGTATGTAAAGCCCTGTGTCTTCTCAGTCTTCTCCATGCAGAGAGTGATGACTGTCCAGTCACTGCTCCCCACGGGGATTTCCCCCTCCCCTCTCTGTTCCTCCAGAGCTCATTGGAGAGGCAGACATGGGAGGGGGCAGTTTAAACACTTCTACTCTCCAATTGAAGTCTGTGGGAGAAAAGGGCATGATCAAAGTGCTCAAGTGTGAACTGCTGTCATAGGAAACAGTGGGGATCCTCATGTCAAGCATTGAAGAACTTCTAGAAAATAGCTTCAGATAGCTCAGATATTACATATCAATACAACACAGACCCCAGACTCACTATATGTGAAAGGCACCTCGCCCCCTAATTGACATAATTTGTACACACCAAGAATTTGGGGTTTAAAGAGGCATAAGTTATAATAAAAGCATATTTTATTTGCTTGTTTCATACAGAATCATGATAAAATTGTTTACTGAAAGTTAGACACATATTAGAGTAAACCCCCTTCTCAGTCGGCCTAACACGTAACACAGCCACATTACAGACTCTTATACCAGTTTGAAAACCATTTAAGTTATCCATATGTTATCTTCATTTTTCGTTTTGCAGTCAACGGTAGTTCTCAGTGGCTTGCGTTTATAGGCCTTTGTCCCGACGCGTTTAGCTGATGTGCTTCCTCTGGGGGCAGAGGGTGACTAATCTAACACAGATACATAATTACTCAATTGTCACAGCATTGATTATATTCAATAAACCTTTAGCATTAATAAATAGTTAATCATGTAATATTGGCAGTGTTATATTTGCTCTACTACTCGCCAACATTGGGTGTCAAGGTCAACACGGATCCTTTTTAGCAAAGGAAAAGCATCATCTTACATGCCCTCCACCTGCCTGGTCAGATGTTGCCTAGTTATTAAGGTTAAAAAAAAGATTCAAGTTCAACCAATAGAGAGAAAAAAGAATAAATAGAAAATCTCCATAAACAGAACCCTATGCTCACAATTACACAGAGCTGATTCAAAGGAAGGATCAATATGTATACAGCTTGGTCCAATTTGCTCCAAAACGAGAATAAAAATCCCTTCCTGATCCTCTAAGGCAGACTCGAGCATTATAAGGCCAGCGGGCCATATCCAGCCCTTGGTCTGTGGCAGTCTGGCCCGTGTACCAATCGCTGACGTGCTCATTCATGGCTAGCTGATAGTTGTTGTACCAACCTCCAAGACCGGTGCATTCACTGCAAGCCATAGCCCAGCACAAGTCAGCGATCGGTCTGTGTGTGGAACACGGGCCAGACTGCCACAGACCAAGGGCCGTAGAAGTAGAATAAAATGGAGGATCAAGAACCAGGCAGATCTTGAAGAAGTAGGATTATTTGTCCGGCCGGGATCGCACAGCAATTCAACGTAAAATAAAGAAGAGTCGCTCGCACTCCAACTGGATTTCTAGTCCATGTTTATTGACCACTGGAGTGTCACATAATAGCGACATTTCAGAGCCACATGGTCCCTTGCCTGAAGAAGGGACCATGTGGTTCAGAAATGTCACTATTATGATGTGACACTCCAGTGGTCAATAAACATTGACTAGAAATCCAGTTGGAGTGCGAGCGACTCTTCTTTATTTTACTTTGATGTGTGGAGGCATCTGCACCCGCCTGATATCCAGTGGCACAATCCGGTCAGGGGTGCGATGGGTACCTTATGAATATTGCACACAGCAATTCAGGCGTGTTCAAATAATATGGCCTTGCGGGCACCATTTTGTTATAGGGCTTTGGACAATGAAACCATCAGTGTCACCTTGTATTATCTCCAAAAAATCAGATGGTGATGCCACCCTGTACTCATATTAGATTGTGCCAAGAACGTTAGATAGGTTCTCTTGTCTGGATGAGACTCCTTCCCATCAAAGTTAGAGGACAACTGTCTTGACATCAAACTTTTTGTTCCTTAAACCAAACTCAGAAAACCTGTTTATGATTTTATGCCTCTAAACTTTAGTTTTCTCGACCTACAAGGTCTAAATTTCTTACATGCCCTCTAGTTACCTCCATCTACAAAGCTAAATGTTCCACGTGTCATTTAATCATACAACTAATTATATATGTATTATATGTGTATATGATGTTTCTGCTATAAGTCAGGACAATAGGGATATAAACAATGTCTATATCTATAACCTAACTAGGGTTGCACAGATACCAGGTACAGTACTCGGTACAAGTACGAGTACATGTACCGATACTTTTGAGCTCCAAGACTACACTAGATAAAAATTCAAAAATTAGGAGGCAGCTGTCATTTGTAAGGAGCACACGGAGCTCCTGGGATTTGTACATCTGTTTTAATGTACGATTTTGTTTTTATAAATTTATAAATAAAGGGATGCACAGATACCAGTTTTGCGAGTACGAGTACTGGTACTTGCCGAGTACTTACAAGTATGAGTACTGATACATTTTTGTTTATTGTCATGTGACAGTTTTTCTAAAGCAATACAGACTAATGATTTCAGGGCAGTGGTGGAGTGCCAGAGCCCGGTCCCAGCTGCAACCCTGGGAGTTCTCATGAAAATTCCAAGTATCTGCACTGGTACTCGAAAAGTATCTGTGCATCCCTAAACCTAACCATATGATAATATTGTGTATGTATGTGTTATATATATCTCTGTATCTCTATATCTCTGTATCTCTATATCTCTGTATCTAGATAGATATGTATCTAGATAGATATGTATCTAGATAGATATGTATCTAGATAGATATGTATCTAGATAGATATGTATCTAGATAGATATGTATATATACACACACACTAATGTATAGATAGCGTTTATGCAAATATGCTGTGTGTGTGTACACAGGTGAAACTCGAATAATTAGAATATCGTGCAAAGTTCATTTATTTCACTAATGCAACTTAAAAGGTGAAACTAATATAAGAGACTCATTACATGCAAAGCAAGATAATTCAAGCCGTGATTTGTCATAATTGTGATGATTATGGCTTACAGCTCATGAAAACCCCAAATCCACAACCTCAAAAAAGTAGATTATTACATGCAATCAATAAAACAAGGACTGTACATAGAACAATATCGGACCTCTGAAAAGTACAAGCATGCATATGTACTCAGTACTTGGTTTGGGCCCCGTTTGCAGCACTTACTGCAATTACTTTTGCATGATATTCTAATTATTCGAGTTTCACCTGTAAGATATATATATATATATATATTTCAATTCAGGACTAACAATATACTTATTATTCTCTGCAATACGCTGCCAATATGAATCGATATGCTCCAAATGTATCTTCTTAAATGTGTTACCCAAAGTTATGCAAAACCATGTAGCTAACAATGCAGTGTTTATGAAGCTTGTATTTTCTGTGAATGACATTCCATATAGAATAAAATAACTTTTCCCTT